CACGCAAACGTGTCCATTTTGCTGTCAGGAGTGGGCGAGGCTTACGCGAGTGAACGAGCGGCTAAACAGACAGAGTGTAATCGAATAGGAGCGCAATAATTCTGAGTAAAACATACATTTTGATAAAAAATTTGTTTTTGGACATTAAATGTGTATTTTGTAGAATTTTAAACCTACATATATGTGTATTTTTATGATAGCAGGTAAATCAAATGTAAGCTAGTAGGCTACAGTACTAATTACTAAGATTAGTTAATGTGCGTTTCTTATAGCAGTTAAAATGTAGTCATTTTCTTTATTATTTATTTTTATTTTTAATTCAGTGATTTTAACTTTTAATTTAGTTATTTTAATGCTTTAAAGAGCAATTTTAGATTGTAATGTTCTAATGTTCTGCTATCTGTTTTGCAAACTATAAAAGGTATAGCTGTAATACAACCAGAGAGAAAGGCTGCACGGCTAGAAACTGTAAAAAAAAAAAAAAGGTCAAATAATAGTATGTGAGACAGTGGTAATATCATTATGTTCCTATTGGTCAGTAGGCTAGAGGAGCTTAGCTTAGCCTGACAGTTAGCCTGCTTTAGACCAGGTTAGCTTCCCAGCATAAGTTGCCACAGTGACTAAGCTTGATCTAGGCCTATGTTAAATTTGCTTTATGGAACCAAATCATTTGACAATGAGTCAGACTAACTGAAATAAGCCTGGCTTATTTGGTTAACTTGTTTTATGAAACAGGCCTTGAGGCATTAAAAGTGATCATATTTTTTCCATTGCATCGTATTGCATGGAATCGCATTGTGTTGAATCGAATCGAATCGAAATCGGATCGCACTGCATCGTATCGCATCGGTAGCTGCTTCATATGTATCTTTAATGTATCGTATCGTTGGCTATGCATCGAGATGCGTATCGTATCGGCCTGAGACATGAGATGCACATCCCTAGTAGGTACATAATGTAATTTATTCCTGTGATGGCAAAGCTGAATTTTCAGCAGCCATTGTCTTTACTGTCACTTTTGATCAGTTGAATGCATACTGAATAAAAGTTATAACCCCCCCCCAAAAAAAATCATATTTTCCAATTTCTTTTTTTCTTCTGATGTAAACAAAGCCATGAGCAGCAGGAAAAAATAATATAAACCAATAATATCATAGCACCACATGCTAACTTTTCTCAGTCCAATCAAATCCCAGTGGATAAAATCAAGTCCCACCCTGCATTATTTCCTGCTCAGTGTTTTGTTTTACTCAGATGTACAGCATGCAGAGTCCATTTCAGCCTGCAGAGTAAACACAAGACAATCTCTTATCATGTAATATCTGTCTTCAGTGGCCTTATCTGCAGTCCGGTCTCTTTATTTCATTTCATGCATTATTTAATTCCTGCCTGTTTAATCACTTAGCATCTGTCTCCGAGTTATTAATGTTTGTTTAGTAGAGCCCATGTCAAGGAAACGTCTCTGTCTCTCACTCTTCCTCTTCTTCTTATCTCTGTGAATCATGGGTAAAATATTATTGGCTGTAGGGCATTAATAGGAGCTGCTCTGAACAGTAGTGCTTAATAACCATGACAGAGCAAACAGTATGAGCAACTCAGAAGGTTACCTGCTTTACACTGCCGGCTCTTAACATGTCAGTCAGTGTGTGAAAGTGCATTGTGTGGCATTGCAAGTAATTTTCCATTCTTTGACAGAGAAGCACATTAGTGCATGTTGGGAAATGTAATCAGTTGTTCACAGCAATGTCCTTGACCTTTTGGGTCATAGCTTCCTGTGTCTGTCTGAGGAGGAACTGGAGGTCACGCTACTGGACATTATTACTTCCTGTTGTGGTGGTGGGTGTATTAGCTTTGGGAAAAATATTTGACACACTTAAAATGACAACAGCTTTTCAGTGTGATCAAACTCTGGGCTGAACTTTACAACTTTGACCCTGTTCATGCTCACAGTCTTCACTGTATTTGTACCACATTAATGTCATTCTATTTAATGAATGTACGTGCTGTAGATATATAGGCTTAAATACTTTTATGACTTTATGAATGTCCTGTTTGAGTGTGTCCTGCAGTGATAATAAACTATTCATATTTTATTCTTTAATGGCTAACATTGTCAGTCTAGTTTTATGTCAGACTTTTATGGCCTATTGTGGGTCACCTTTTAATCAATTCTTAGCCTGTTTTGAATATTACCTTACACTCTTATCATTACCTGAGAAGTTATTTGCATGTTATAACCTCTTATTTTAATATGATCTTTAAGAATTTGGTATAATGATTATATTTCTCTCCGGTATACATGCTTACGCTAACGTTCAAAGTTTGGTGTTGCTAAGATTTTTTAGTTTTTTGTACATATAACAGCAATGTAGCATTGTGTTTCAGCTAGACTTGTGCCGGTATTCGGTAATGCGATATATCACGGTAATGAATATGCACGATATTGTTATCGTGGGCACTTCTAATTGCATTTAAATGTTCAGTTATTTTTGTTATAAGAAAAAAGTTATTAAACCTGTTATAATGTATTATGACAGCACTTTTTAAAAAATTTTTTTTTACTTAATTTCAATACCTCCTATTTATACAGTAATAATTTGACAGGAATACAATGTAATGCAAACCTTAATTTCAGTCAGGAAGTTTCCCGTCAGTCAAGTTTTCTCTCAGAACAGAACACAGAATGACCTGTTTTAACCGGTTTGGCACAGTTTGCCAACATTGGGTTACACTGACCCAGCGCTGGGTAGGTATGTAAGGGGGTTCATCATTTGTACACTCTAAAAAATGCTGGGTTAAATACAACCCAGTGCTGGGTAAAATAGGGACAAACCCAGCAATTGGGTTGTTTTGACCCAGCGGTTGGGTTACTACCCAGAAGGTTGGGTTAAACATTTAACCCAAC